TTTTTCTCAAATTATACAACTAAAAGGCTTAACTTGTAAAACTGTAAATATATATATTATATTAATTAATTTTAAAGATATAAATATATCTTTTTATATTGAAATAATTCTATAAATTATATATATATATATAGAAAAATGATTTTATTTCACCAAATATTTGTTTTCTTTTTCTCAAATTATACAACTAAAAGGCTTAACTTGTAAAACTGTAAATATATATATAAGAAAGATTACTTGTCCTTGAACATTCTTATTCTTTTTTTTAAATTTCTTTTTACACGGATTAATAGCATTTTCTCGAGGAAAAGTTTATGAACGTCTTTTAAATGGTAACACTTTATTAAAATGATAATCCGAAGTTCTCTTGGGGCGTTAAATTCTCGTTTGGTCGAAGGAAGTCATTAACTGACCGAAGTATAATAAAGCGATAGGATAGTATACTTTTCCCTTTTTCTTATTCTTATTCTTCTTCTTTTTCTTCCTTTTATTTCTTATGGTTAGAGATGCTGATCCTTTTTAATCCTGTATGGAATTCTAACGATCTCTATTTATGTATGTATTTCGTGGTCAAGAAGATCATCGACATAGTAATTGACTGGACGATTAAATCAACGACACTAACACACTAATGAATTTTATCTTTCAATTTATCTTCTACTATATATGCAATATTTATATAATGTTAATGAGAGAGATCTCGAAGAGAACAAAATTGTTGGCTATTTAATCCAGGATTGGCAAAAGAAAAGAAAAGAAAAGAACAAAAAAACAAATCACGATTAAAAAGCATGTTCACTTTTCTCTTTCTTCTCAATTTTGGATTTGTGATTTTCAAAATCAAATCAATAATTTACGACATTTATTCAATTTATTACGCATAGATTTCTTTTTTCTCCTTGTAATTTTACAAAAATTCAAATTTTAATTCTACCATCAACAGAGATTTTTGTATTATTTACAACAAAACTTTGTATAAGAAAAATATATACATATATAATTGAGATAATAATGATTAATATAATATTGATTTAAACAAAACAAATCATCTGAGAACTTTTATCTTATCAAATGAGATTTTTTTGTATATTCATTCTTGTATATAATAATAATAATAATAATAATAATAATAATAATAATAATTGCGCTAATGTGTAAAATATATTGTCGATCAAGTTAATTGCTAGGGGAAAATAAATTTCCATTGGATTTTTTTTTATCCTTTTTCTTTTCTTTTCTTTTTATTGAAAACGATTCGAATGAGAATTTCGTCGATACGACGCAAATCGCATAATCGTGATCTTATCGCTTGTAAGCCAGTTCAAGAGTATAACCTTCGGATAAGGTTGCTAGCAAGCTAGCTAGCTATACCAAATGTGATCACATAATCTTAAGGGGGAGAACTCACTGAAAAATCTGACTTTTTTCCTGCCTTTTATTTTTATAGTAGTAATATTTTTTTTATATATATTATATTACTGCCTTTTCCTATATCCTCGTTTCTATTATAATTTTTTTAATTGTGTTTATCATTCGAACGAACGAATGTGAACGAACAAACAAAAATATGATTGTATCTTTATTATTATTATTATTTAATACACCCGGAACTCTATATTAAATTTGTATTATTTCTTTTAATTCTAAAATTGAGAATATTATTCTAATCGATTATTAATATTTAAATAGACAAACGAATGAATACTTTAAATAAAAAACAATTTACGAATAACGTTTACGTACGCGCGAGGAATGAATTATGAAAAATCATTTAAGTGGGTCAAAAGTTGCGAGTTCTTTTTTCTTTTTTTTTACTAATCGATAATTCATTATCGAAGACTTTTGTAGACAGAAAAGTAAAAAAGAAAAAAAAAACAAAAAACAGTAATGCATGAATTTTTAATAGACCACCTTGTAACTTTTAACTCGTCTAGGAACTTTTTTGTGAGTCACACACACACATACATAAGGTTTGCATTACTAATAAATTTCATTTAATAAATGCATACATTTTTTTTTATATTCTCATATATTGTTCATTAAATGAACGATTTGCATTTTTTTTTTTTCTACTTTTATAATCGATGCATTTTTCGATAGGATTTCTTCATTAAAATATAAAATAAATTTTTGTATTATA